TCATTTATAAAATGATGCATTTGCAAAATGCCTACTAATCCCCTCGTCAAGATGCCCTAAATTCATATCTAGATGACCTTCCATATATCATATAGATAGGTGAGTAGATATATAGGTTAGTAGTTGTTGGTGTTTTCTTGGTCACCTCTTTGATACCAAAAAGGTCCTAGATTTTAACCACCTCTGTTGTCTTCCAAATTGGTACTTCAGTGCCCTTACAGTCCTCTCTTCTACAGTACGTGTCAATCAAGCAGCCTCCAACTCTCTCAAGTGCTACCTAACCAAGTAAATATATCATTGGGAAATATTTAACAAAATAAAAATATAGTAGAACATAGATAATATTAATGTGTGATTTTCTAAGTCAGTATGTCCAACAGGCATCCTTATATACTGTTTAATGGCCCCTATTTCTGACTTTGACACCACTGATTTACAGCATGAATCTGCTCTCTCTATATTTCAATTAATTTGGATTTTTTCCATTTTTGTTCTCTTTTGTGCAATTTCTGCTTTTTCTATAAGCATGTTAAGGACTATAATTTTAAGGTCCAATCCTTAATTTGTTGTAATAATTTTTGAAAATCTTTACCATATTTCTTCTGTTTGTAGTCTTTTTCTGATTTCCTCCTTAAGTGCCCTTGGGATGACTTGACTCCTTTGGTTATCTTGCCAGGTTTTCTTCAGAATGGTTTTATCTTCCACTGCTTCTCTCTCCTTTGTGAGGCAATACTGCTCATAATAATCCATCATCTTTTTTCATAAGATAATAATGCAATATACCAAAATTTATGGGTTGCAGCTAAAGTAATTCTTAGATACAAAAATGTATATGCTTACATTAACAAAAAAGAAAAAGAGAAGATTAATGAGATGGGTTTTCAATTAAAAAAATGAGAAAATCAACAAATTAACGCAACTAAAATAAACTTAAAAGAAGATATCACTAAGACAAAAGGAGAAATAAACATACTTGAAAGCAAACACATACAACTAAATTAAATGAATTTTTAAAAGGCTAATAAAATTGGCAAACTATTAACTAAATTAACCACATAAGAGAGGGGAACATCAAATTATTGAAATAAAAAAAAATGAGGAAAAAAATACCTAATTGAATAGTGAAGACAGTGAAAGAAAAACAACAGCAACATGCAATCATATGCCAAAAATCTGAAAATGTAGAAGAAATGGATGATATTCACAACAATATAAAAGACCCAAATTGATTAATTCAGTGAAATGTATTAGGGAAAACCATTAATGAATTACAGTGCAAATACACACACACACACACACACACACACACAAACACGATCAAAGAACAAATAATTTTGATACTATGTAAATTGTTTTCAGAAATAGAGGTGGCATTTTACCAAATTTTTCTCATGTTTAAAATATAGTTCTGATCTTCAAACCATCCAAAGGCATATAAAGGGAACTATAAACCAATATTATCAATGAATACTGAATGCAAAAATATCATGGCAAACATAACACAATAGTATATTTTAAAAATTGTTCATATGATCAAGTGGGGCTTATGCCAGGAATGTAAATATGACTTAGTATCAGGAAACAGCATGAGAAGTTGTAATAACAAAATATTCAAAATTCCATCTTATTGGTAGATACGTAAAGAACTTTTGGTAAAAATACTTTATATTAAAAACACTAAAATGACTAGGAATGGAAGTTTTCATTACAATAGAAGCCTTTATTTGAACCCAGGAGCCAGAATTACATGCAGTGGAGAAATCTTAGAGAATTCTCCTTATTCATGGACAACAGGGACAGGGATGAGACCTGTGGAACTCCCAAATGAAGGAACTTCTGTCAGTGCAGGTTGGCATCTCCTCTGCAACCTACAGTCTTAGAGAGCCACCTATAACACTGAGAGGCTAAGTGACTTGTCCAGGGCCAGGGCCATATAGCCATTATATGTTGAAGGCAGGACTTGAACCCAGGTCTTCTTGACTCCAAGGGCAACTCTGAAATCACCATGCCAATGTAATTGCTTATTAAGAAAATCTAAGACAATCAACAAATGTAGCTCAGATACCTATAGCAAAATAGTCAAATAAATATCACCAATAAAAAGGAAAGGAAAAAAGCAATAGAGAAGTGTCATTTAAAATAATTACAAAATGTGTTGAATATCTAGGAATTCTTACCTAATAGAATATAAACTTTGAGGCAGGGACTGTTTTTTATTTTTGTCTTTGTACCCTGGCAACTAGCACAGTGTTTTGCACATAGTGGTCAGTTAATACATACTTGTTAATTTGAATTGAATTTAAAGCATAATGGAACTGACATAGTCAACTACAAACCAATTTTATAGAAATAAAATAAAATTGAAAAGATATTTGTTGTTTATCTTTAGGCTGAGATACTACATGTATTATACTGCTTTATAGGCATATTTGTTATTTCTATTGAAATACCCACTGGATATAGAATTAGACAAAAATACTAATTCATATGGAAGAGCAAAAGGTCCAGAGTATCAGAGGAAATCAATTAAAAGAAAAAGGAAGTGGGGAGACCTTGTACCTTAGATTTCAAATTATACTACAATGGGTTATTATCTAAACTATCTGATTTGTAAAAAATAGAATAACAGATCAGTGAATAGGTTAGATAGTAATGAGCTAAATTTAGATGGTAAAGTAATTAGTAAACTTGAATCATAAACCAATGGGGGAAATATTCACTATTTAATGAAAATTGTAGCAAACATTTAGATGGCAGTTTGTTGAAAAAGAGCAGACCAAATCACACGAGACACACACACACACACACAGAGACTAATAATAAGTTTATAAACGTAAAAAGCTAGAGGACAAGAGATGATTAAAACACAATGCTGGAAGTTGTTATGAATTCTTAAATTGACTCCGAAAATTATGAAAGAAGATACTTGTATTTGGTTGCATAAAAACAAAAAGCTTTTGCATAAAATAAACCAGCGAACCCAGAATAAGAGAGGATGAGTGAAACTGGGGGAAATTATTGCATCAAATGATTTAAGACAAATATGACATCCAAAATGTATAAAGAATTGACACTTTTATCAGTGTGAGCTATTTTATAATTGATGAATTGTCAAAGGAACAAATAGACAATCCTCAAGGCAATCAGCAGTCCCGTGAAAAAATATTCAAAATCCCTAATCAGAGAAATACAAATGAAAGCAACTCTGAGCCAGCTGAGCCCCAGATTGACAAAGATAAAAGATGACAACTGGTAAGGCAGTGGTAAAACAGGCATCATATTACCCTGCTGGTGGGGTTGTGAATTGGCCCACTTTGGAAATCAGGGAAGCGGTATGGAATGACACATTAGTAGTTTTAAGTGTGCATGTCCTTTGGTCCAGTGGTTCTGCTGCAGGGAATATGCCCCAAGGATGTTATTGACAGGGGAGAGATCAATTTACAAAAGTGTTCTTGACAGCACTATTTGTGACGTCAAAAAAGAAAAATGGAAATGTACTAAGTGTTCATCAATAAAGGATTGGCTATTAGTTCAGAAACATTTTACATTAGATCAGGCTGAACAAATTATGGTATGTGAATATGATAGAATATTATTACATCATAAGAAATGGTGAGAGGCAGTGTGGTATACTAGTGAGATAGTCAGCTGACCCCAGACTCTGGGTTCAAGGCCTGCTTCCGATATATACTGGCTCTCTGACCATAGACAAATCATTTAACCTGTCAGTATTTCTTAGGACAGCTCTCTTAAGGCTGGAAATCACAGATTTGCGTCAAAGGGGTTTGCTTATTGGTAGTTCCCAGTGTACACCAGTGGTGTCAAACGCAAATAGAAGTAGGAAACACTAAGTTGTCCATAACGATTGCAGTGGTCCACACATTGACTTGGAAAACCACACAAGTTTATAATATAAAATCAGATAGAAACTACATTTTAATTGGATTTGGACTGCACTTGGGAGTATTGTGGGCCACGTGTGGCCTATGGAGTGTGTGTTTGACACCTGTGGTATACACTAATGAAATGATAGGTCTAACCCCCTCTTTCCCCCCCACCAAAAAAAGATTATGAATATGAAGAATTAAAAAAGTAGGGCCTATATTCATGCTTATATAAAATTATGTGGAGAAAAGAAAGCAGAATCAAGTCAAGTCGGCAGACATTTATTAAGTGCTTACTGTGTGCCAGATATAGTGCTAATAGCTGGGAATATAAATACAATTCTAATAAGGGAAGGAAACGTATAAAAAGAAGCTGAAAAAGTGGGAGTTGGTAGAAGAGAAGATGAGAGATGAAGGAAGGCACTGGTGCAGGAGCATAGTAGAGAAAGTCTGGAGAGACAAGCTTAGCCTGGAGAGGAATGAAGACATGGCTTGCCTGGTCATCTTCCTCAAAATGAAGGTTCTGGGAAGAATCAGACAGTCAGAGGGGGAAGCCACAGGGATGGAGAGTACTTCAGTGAGTGAAGTCCAGGGATGGAGTGAGCTTCCACTGTGAAGAAAGAAGTTTTTGTGGCTTAGTAGAGAAAGTCTAAAAACAATTCAGCCTAGAGAGAAATTAACCAAAAAAAATAGTATCCATGTAGACTAAGCATGCTTAAAGAGACAAAACAGCAACAAATGCTTACAGCAAAGAGCAAAAAAGAACAAGGAAAATAAAGATGAAGTGGGCATTGCTGTCTTATAGTAAGCACAGACATCTTTTTGTATAGGTAAATAATGGAAATTGTAGACAAATATGATAATTTATAATCTCTTGGGTGTTTTTTTTGTTTCATTTTTTATCTCATGTGCTCCTTCTTTCTTATGTTTTATTCACATATTTGAATACCTGCACTTGTCAGTGGAAGTCAAAATGTAGATTAGAAGCAAACAAATAGAGTTTGAAGGTACACCTAAGTATCATATTTAGTAAATATTGGCTTTTAATGATCCTGATTGTTGTATATGAGATCAGGAACAACACTGTCATCTTACATTCTATCCTTGCTTTTGTAGGGGATGGTCCGTTTCCTGGTGTGATTGACATGTTTGGTGATGAAGGGGGACTACATGAATTTCGGGCTAGCCTTCTTGCTTGTCGAGGCTTTGCTACCCTAGCTTTGCCATATTTTGCCTTTGAAGATCTACCTCCCATTATGAAAGACTTAAATCTTGACTACTTTGCTCAGGCAGCTAAATTTGTGCAGAATCACCCAAAGGTGAGTGGTATGACAGAAGGAAATATACTCATCACAAGAAGGGAAATAATGGTAACATAAGCAGTCGGTAAAATATGTGCTATGTGAATAATAAATCATTGGCTTAACAAGCCAGTAAAGATCAATCCATAGCAGTCTTTGTAACCCATTAACAGTTGCTCCTTTCTGTTTTTTTTTTCCTCTCTCTCTTTTTCTTTAAAGGTCAAAGGTCCCAAAATTGGAGTGATTGGATCAGGCAAAGGAGCAGAACTGGCCTTTTCAATGGCTACCTTCCTCCCAGAGGTGGCTGCTGTGGTCAGTATCAATGGTTGCATCTCCAACACAGGCACAGCTCTTCAGTGTGGCCAAGTAATCCTTCCAGGGCTCCCCTTTGATCTGGATAAAATCACTGTCACTTCCTCAGGAGTGTATGATGTTAAAGAAACCCTTGTAGACCCCTTGGATCCTGCTTATGGAGACAGCCTCATCCCCATAGAAAAAGCTGACTCTCACTTCCTTTTTGTGGTTGGAGAGGATGATAAACAGTGGAATAGCTCTTTGTATGCTGACTTGGCAATCAAGCGCTTAGAGGAGCATGGGAAAAAGAATTACACTCTTCTGAGCTATCCCAATGCTGGTCATCGAATTGATCCACCTAACAGCCCATTTTTTCCAGTTGCCTTGGACCGGTGGCTGGGGGTCCCTGTTCTAGGTGGGGGTCAGTGCAAAGCCCATGCCATTGCTCAGGAGGAATCTTGGAAGAAGATCTTAGAGTTTCTGAAGATGCATCTAAGATGAAGGCCATAAAACTATAAAGTGGGGTTGAAGTGAGTCCCCAAACAATGCAACAAAGTGATTTCAAAGGAAGTTAAAGGCCTAAATCTGTATAGCTGTGTAAAATGAAAATTGAGATCTCATAGCCATCTACATGTTTTAAGGAGATGTAAAATTACTAAGGAAATAGTACTTTTTGGGTAGCAATTCAAGGAAACTGATTCAAGGGTCAGAAGTATTTCAATTTTGTGTTTACCAGAACCTGTCATTCTTAAGCTATTGAATGAGGTTTTAGTTTGACTTACCCAGGAGAAGGTAGAGGCTTCAACTATAAAGAGAGAGAGAATTATTAAATGAAAGAGCAAAAATAGTTTTCATCGTGACCCCGTTTGGCGTTAAAAATCAATTTGTGTACTGGTGGCTTGTCTACCTTCTATTTTTCCATGCTCTTTTTTTACTCGTAGAAAAATATTCTTATCTGCCACAGAAATATTTGTAAAATTTTTTTGACTATGTATTTGAATGTGATCTTATTATCGAATACACACCATTGCATTTTTGATAAGGAACTTTATTTGGTGACATAAAGATCAACACGAAGCTGTAAGATCAACTGCATTGACCTTCGGTTTTTTTGGAAGTCACCTTTTTAAGGGTCAGCAAAGATTTCATCATGAAAAAATTCTTAGAAAATCTAAGTGTCTCTCCAGCAAACAGCAGTCAAATGCTGAGAATGGGTCTCAGTGTTTATAGCATCTTTGTCCCCCTATTTCTGTCTTCATACATGTTTGAAGTGTCAAAAGTTTATTGAATTCAGATTGTCCTCCAAAATAAACAATTGTAGTGTGGAAATTAGACTTTTCTAATGGGAAGTCGGAATCCTTCCTCCTCTACCCCAGAAATTTAAAGTAAAATTTATTGGTGAAGGAGGGATTTTCTCTCTTTTAAATCACCATCTAATGGGGTTTGAGCCTATGGTTTTTTGAGAGTGTGTGCTTCAGGTTGGAGGATATTAAATGTTTTTGTTTTCGTTTAGGTTCCCTTTCCTGATGTATGCACATATTTCGTTGGGGGGATGGGATGGGAGGATTTGTGACTGTTGAGTTTTTATATATGTTTGGCCAGTAGCCCTTTGGGTTCAGAATACCCTTAGAACCCCAGGATGAGTCATTGTTACAATGCTTTTTATAACATTAACTATTTCTAAAGTAAAGCCACACTTTGAAATTTTTGATATTGGGGCAGCTAGGTGGTGCAGTGGATAGAGCGCCAGTCCTGAAGTCAGGAGGACCTGAGTTCAAATCTGGCCTCAGACCAAATACTTGGAACTTACTAGCTGTGTGACCTTGGGCAAGTCATTTAACCCCAGTTGCCTATAAAAAAAAAAAAAGAAATTTTTGATATTAGAAAAGGAAACTTCAGCAGATTGAGTACGTGCTGCCTTTTCTTGGGGCTATTCATGTAAAAAAACAGAAAAGTGGCAAGTCGGCTTTTTTGAAATCTCTTTTCTAAAACAACAGTAAAGGAAAATGTGCCTTTAAAAAACTAAGAGCCATAATTTGAGGTTGCCATTTGAAGTTTGATGTACTGTTCATTCTAATTTAATTTGAATGAATTTTACTTTTAAGTATCCTGAAAGGGGCGTTAGTCACACAGCCAGATTTTTCAGTTGTGCTTTGATGTGCATTTTAAATGAAGCATGTCAAATCAGTATTTTGTCCCTAATCAGGCCGTTAGACCTGATAAATACCTCTCTCTCCCTTCTTATCCAAACTATGCACTTATTTTAAAAAACAGAAGTACTCCTGTATTTATTTATATTTATCATTTTCTCTTTGTATCCATTTTCAGTCATAGGATACTATTTTGTGCGTTCTTTTCAAAGTTTCTCCTATGGATAGATTTTTTTTTCCTGAATTTGTGGAATCCCTTTAAGTGATTTTGACTGTCTTAGCATTGTAAATCTTTGGCACACTCCACTGATGTTCCTTTTTTTTTAAGGTTGTTTAGGTAGAAATAGAACTATTTGGCTTTAAATCTCATTTGTGTTTAAAAAATTATACACAAGGATACCCAGCTTCATGCTGTGGAATTGTTTGCTTATTTATATTAAGGGTTTAAAGAACACAGCATAACTTTTTTTTTTGTAAATGTTCTTAAATTTTGAAATCAGAAATATTGCTCTAAAATGTGTGTACAGAATATTATTAAATTAATTTTTGAAGACAAATAAATTTCTGAAGAACATAAGCAGAGTTTATAGTTTACTTGTGGTTAGTCACAATTTATTAGTTTTAGCCACGAGTCTTTGTGGTATGAAGTGAGGAAAGGATAACAGTAAAATGAGATCTTAAAAATAAGATAATGTTGATTTCTGAGCCTGAAGATAACATTTATTTGTGAATGAATGACTACCTAGAATCATACAAAGTTAGAAAACAAAGGATCTTAGAGAATTATCTAACCTGCCTACCTTCCTTTTACACACAAGGAATCTGCGTCTCGGAACTGAAATGACTTGCCCAAGCTCACACCATCTGCTTGTGGATGAACTAGAACTAGAACCCAGGTCTCTTTATACTCCCATTCCAATGACTTGCCACAGTGCAGTTCAAGGTATTATTCATTTACACGAACACTTTGCAGGGTTTAGCAGATTTGCTTGAGATTTAGATTCCTGATGTGAAGACAACCATAAAACTGTAGAAGGAGGTTTTTTCAGGCAGGGAAGAATTCTAACAGTTCTTCTTGGGTGCACAAGATTGTCTCAATAATAACAAATTATTTTGTATAGGGCTTTGTGGCTTACGAACAGAAGTGTGCAGGAGCCAGCTCTAGAGAACTGATTTTTTAATTTTCGGCGTAAGCATTTACACCTCAGAAATTGGTGAAAGTTACAAATCAGGGCTTGATTTATTTTGTTGATTATCTAGACTTAAGAAAGTGATGGGGAAAATGTTAATAATGCTGATTAAACTTCAAAGTGCATCCTAAGTCCATTCCTCCCTACCCCCTGAACCTGGTTTTAAACATTTACCAGCACAACCCTGCTTACAAAGCACTTTCTTCACAATCCTAAATGGTAGGTAGTGCAAGTATTATCTCCATTTTACATATAAGGAAACTAAAGTGCTATAGCTGGAATTCTTACTTAAGCCTCCTGAATACAAATCCAATGAATTCTCTATTATACCATGCAGATAAAAGAAAATTTGTAGTATGCACATTATGATGGAACTGGGAATACTTAGCCTGAAAAAGAAAAGATTTAGGAGTAACATAGTAGCTGTCTTCAAGTAGTTGAAGAATTGTTGTGAAAGCAGTAGACTTGTTCTATTTGGCTTTCAAGGAGCTGTAAACTGTAGGGAGGAAGGTTTCAGCTTAACAACTAAAGAAAAATTTCCTATAATAGGCAGCTATTGGTTAGAGTATGGGACCTGTGTCAGGAAAAATTGAGTTTGAACCGTGCCTCGGACAGATACTTACTGGCTGTGTGACTTTGGGCAAATCACTTAATCTCACTGTGCCTCAGTTTCTTCATCTGTAAAATGGGGATGATAATAGCACCTCTATCACAGGGTCGTTGTAAGGATTAAATGAGTTAAACGTATATAAAGCGCTTTGCAAACAAAATCCTGTATAAATGCCAGCTATTATTATTATTGCTACACACTTGGTGTTTCACCCATTCTTCTCAGCCTCATTTGCTGAGTCATCCATCATCTTCGTCCTGCCCCCTAGTCTTGGGTGTCAGCCTCGGCTCTCTGGCCAAGGTCCTCTTCGCTCTTCAGTATACTCTCAGTGATTCCATCCACTCCTATGGGCTCAATTATCATCTGTATGCAGATGACTCCCAAATCCATGTATATAGCCTTTATCTGTGTACTGAGCTCCAGTCCCATGTTACCAAATGCCTGTGGGCATCAGCTGGGCATCCCAGTTGTATTTCAAACTCGACAAGTCAAAAACAAAACACATCTCCTTCCCTTCCCACTCCCTGCCCCCAAACTGTTCTGTTTCTGTTGAGGACTCCATTATCCTTCCAGTCACTTGGATGTACAACCCTGGTGTCACTTTCAACTCTTTTTCCCTCACGTCCGGTCTGTTACCAAGTCGTGTTCATTCTGCCCCCACAAAATCTGGCTGTCTCATCTATTCCCGTTCCTTCAACTCACGTTGCCACCATCCTTTGTTGAAAACCTCATCACCTCTAACCTAGTCTATTGAAATAGCCTCATAATTGGTCTTCCTGCTTTCAAAGGACAGCCAGTGACACAGTGAAGTAGCTAGTGACAGGGCAGATAGAGCCCTGGTCATGGAGTCAGGAATATACGAGTTAAAATGAAGCTTCAGACACTTAACTAGCTGTGTGACCCTGGGCACGTCACCTAACCTCTGCCTGCCTCTATTTCCTCAACTGTAATAGGTAAAATAGTAGCACCAACCTAACAAGTGTTATGGGGACAAATGCTATTTGTAAACAGGGCTAAGCACAGTGCCTGGCACATAGTAGGTTCTATATAAATGTTTATTCAATTCCTTTCCCCTTCTCCCAAAGTCCTTTTTCCCCAATCCATTCTCCACACAGCTTCCAAATTAATGACCATGTCACTCTTTTGCTCAAGAAGCTTCATCGACTGCCTCTTAACTCTAGAATATAATCCCAAACTTGTCAGTTTAGCATTTAAAATTCTCCAGAGTATGATTCCAGCCAACCTATTACCCCTTCATGCACTTTTTATTCCAGTCAAACTGACCTACTTTTACTGTTCCATCTCCAGCCAACCCTGCTTTTTCTTTTTTTTCTTTTTTTTTTTAAGTGAGGCATTTGGGGTTAAGTGACTTGCCCAGAGTCACACAGCTAGGAAGTATTATGTGTCTGAGGCCACATTTGAACTCGGGTCCTCCAGACTTCAGGGCCGGTGCTCTTTCCACTGCGCCACCTAGCTGCCCCCAACCCTGCTTTTGCACAAACTACCATACTTCAAATGCTGTCCTTTCTCACCTCTGCATCTATAACACCTAGCCTCTTTGAAGCTTCAACTCAGGTGACACCATTAACAAGAAGACTTTTCCCAATCTCTAGTTCAGGGCTTCTTCCAGGGGTGGGAAACCTTCAGCCTCTCTGCCACATGTGGCGTTCTAGGCCCTGGGGTGCAGCCTTTTACAGAACAAATCCTTTTATTAAGGCGATTTGTTCTGTGAAGTTTGGATTCAGTCAAAGGGCCACACTTGAGGACCTGGAGGGCCAGATGTGGCTCCCAGGCCGAAGGTTCCCCACTCCTGCAAATCTAACCCTTGTGTCCTGGATCCTTTGGCCCTCACGTGATGCCTGTGAACCCCTTTTCAGAATTATAGAAACCAAAGTTTAGTGAACATAAAGATGTCATTTTCCCCTCATCAAGTTTGTGGACTCCCTGAAATCAGTCTGGACTCCAGGTTGAGAGCCCTTCCCCTATTGCTAGTCCTTTATATCTTTAAATTATCTGATAATTTACCTATTTGGGGCCATCTTGTAGTCCAGCTCACTAGGCCCCCAGCGCAGTATGATGTGAGCTGCTTTTCCCCTTCATTCAGTTAGCGTTTATTAAGAACCCAAGGCAATGGAGCCACAAAGACAAACTGGAAAAAGTGATTGCCTGAGGCATAAACTTATTGTGTATATTCTGTCGTCGTCCCCTTCCCCCGCCCCACACACACTTTGAGACTCTTTCTTGACAATTATTTTTTTTGGGGGGGTGATTCTTTTGGATGAACTTGGCTAAATGAATTTTAAATCGCTTATGAGAAACAAATGCATAAGTTAGGAGCAGCAGCAGCAGCATTCTCCATCTGCTAATTCCCTGCAGCACTCCGGAGCAGAGACAACGAGAGAAATTATTCTGCTTTCTCCCCAGCCCTGCCCAGAAACCGTTCACTGCTGTGTACTGCAGTGCGCTCGCTTCCACAACCGTAGAGACCCGCCCCCTCCCCCCCTCTTGCCCCTCCTTCTCCCCCCCGCCCCCTTGCAGGCAGGAGCGGAAGGATTCCGCCCACCCCTTTAGTCATCCCACAATGCCTCTCGCCACACGCGCGCGACCGGGAGGGAAGGTGGAGCTGCTGCACAGGCGCGCGCCTGTGTGTACCTCCTGGCAGTGCGCATGCGCCCAGGCCCAAGCTGGGCCCTAGCAACCGCCGCAGTGACAGTAGCAACGGAGCGGAATGGTGAGTAACCTCCAGGGTTTGGGGAGGCTAACCTGGGGTTGGGGGGAGCCGGGGTCGGGGGCGGAGAAGTAGTGTTGAGGAGCGTAAAGGGACGCCTACTCAAGAGGAGGGAACCTAGGACGAAGGGGAGGGGGAGGGTCTGTTGGGGAGAGGGGCCTGGGGCGGATGGCTGCGGCTTGGGCTGGGGGCAGTGGGAGCCCGAGGACGAGAAGGGGGATGCAAGGGGGATGAGGTGAAGAAGAGGTGGGGGAGAAAAAGGGGAAGAGAGCCTCTTGCACTGGAGGAATTCTCCACTCCAGAGAGATGGGGAGGGCTCCAGCTGTGATTGGCGCAACAGTAAATGTACACTTGTTATCTCTAATTAACGGTGAGGATCATCTGTGGGCGGTAATGCTGCAAACCCGACTCTCTGGTAGGTTTGCGAGCCGCCTGCATCTCTCTTAGCTGCTTTGCGAAGCCCTGATTTGCCTAGTAACCGGGCAGTGACTGTCTAAAGGTAAATGCAAAGCTCCAGTGAGCCATTCTCCTGTTTATTTACAGCCTTGAAAACTCAAACCAGTTTCTCGAAAGGGAATAGGTATTGATTGGTTGAGAGTCTTACTTCCAGACTCTTCTAGCCAGTTTAGGACAGTGAGTAATCGTCCTTCAGGACAGTTGTTTATGAAGAGTAGATATGGTGGTTCTCTTTTTGAAATTCCAATGCTCAAATAGACAGCAATTATACCAGGAGGGCTGAAGGGGTGGGTGGGTTAGAACGGGAAGATAGCCCACAGCAAGGAGAGTGATTACTGCTCTTCTTTCCGTCAATGATCCTTCCTCCTCCCAGTCCCTCTTGCATTTATGTGGTCAGAGCTAAGAACTAAAAAGGTTCTGGAGTTTAGTTCAAAATTTTAGCAAAAAAAAAAAAAATCTGGCCTGAAATAGTTCCTTGGTGTGTGTGTCATGGAAGTTAATTAACAGGTTCAAGTATGCGTTTTGAACTAGGAGACAGACTCAGAGGAAAATCAGTGACTTCATTGAGGAGAGAATCCAGTAAAAATTTAGGTAGTCTGAAACCTCTGGAGGTGCAAGGTGTGTGTCCAGGAAGCAGAACTGAAGAAGACAACCGGCTACTGGTTTTACAACCAGTAAAACCAGAAAATGAATAGCTGAGAAGCACTTTGGCTTTGTGGATATAGATTACTGCCTGGGTCTCGAAGCCCTGGATTCAAGTGCCTTGTGTGACCCAGGGCAAATCATTTAAACTTTCATTGCCTCCAGACAACTAAGGCTGTAAGTTGCAGGGGAAATAAATGTTAACCTACATTGGCGTAGGGAGTTTCAGGTGTGCTGGTAGATGTTTAACAACCAGCTTCTCCCCTAAAAAAAAAATCGTACCTGCATTAACATTTTCTCCATTACTTTTCAGTCTAGACAGTCAACAAAACAATAAATCAAGTCCTGATTTGTAGTTTGCTGATTTCCAAGGTATAAATACTGACAGTAAAAATTTAATAGTCTTCTCTGAGAGCAATTTAATCTGGCTCTAACACATGCCTGCCACTGAAAATTGAACATTTGGCTCTTTCTAAAAAGTTGGAGCTGACTTCAGCACACCCAGGCTGTTAAGTGGCCCAGTGGATAGAGTGCCCTGGAGTCTGGAGGTCCTGAGTTCAAATTTGACCTTAGCCACTTATTAGCCATGTGACCCTTGGGCAAGTCACTGATTCACCCTGTTTGCCTCAGTTTCCTTATCTGGAAAATGAGCTGGAGAAGAAAATGGTAAACCACTCCAGTATCTTTCCCAAGAAAACCCCAAATGGGGTCATGGAGAGTCAGACAACTAAACAACAACCAGCACACCCAGGTACCCTGTACCGACGAAACCCCAAGTCCAATCCCATTCCATCGATGCAACCCCCTGGTTGGAGGTGATAAAATATATGGATTATCGGTTTGTAAGGAAAGTACTAATAATGCTGTATAGCTTTTTCTTGTTGTTTGTTGCCATTTTTGTAAGTTTTTTTTCTTAAGGTATAGGTGAAGCTTTATTCACGGAAATTGAGGGATATTTTCAGCCTTTTATTTGGTAGATGTTACTCTGGTCAGTGGGGGGGCAGTGACATGATATTAAAATAATTAAAATTTTTTCTATCTTTTTTGAAGGTGGTAATTCCATGCCAATCTCAATAACAGTTAGAATGATACATATTCTGACTTAAAAATAAAGCAGATTTTAACATTCATTCAACAAATGTTGATTGAGCAACTAATGTGTAAGGTACTAGGAGGATACACTGCAAAATTAAGAATTGTTTGATGAAGTAATCTTATATGTAAAAGATAAGAAAATTAAAGAAACTTTGTTCAAAACTTTTTAAACAACATCAATATTGAAATTTACCCAAATAAAATTTTGACTTGATTTTTAAGTATCATATTATTACTACAAAGAGTTTTTACTTGGAAGGCAAAACTTGCATATACTTAAGTACAGACATGAAAGTTACTTAACATTTGTACACAGTAGATTGAATTAAACTAAAAGTATATATCTTAGTATTAGTGACATGACTTATGGGACTTCTATATTAAATTTGAACCAATAAGAGCTTCAAGTTAATTTCAAATTTCCCTAACCTCTCCAACTTTCTACTCTACCTTTCAAACAACCTGTGATTTTAGAGTTGAAAGGAACCTTAGATACCATCTAGTAGTAGTATTAGTAGTATCTTAGTATCACTCTTCCTCATTTTATAGATGACTTCACATCCTGTGTGCTTAGGCCCTTGGGATAGAAAGATAGTCCCTGTCCTCAAGCACCTTATATTCTATCAGGGGAGACAGTATATACATATACGATATATACAGGATAAATACAAAATAAATGATGCCTTGTTTTGTGCCCCTCTGATGAACTCATGATGATTATGGTTTCTTAGCTATGTGCCCAATTTCCCTACTAAACCATAAACTAGACTAAATACAAAGCAGGCATTTAATAAATATTGAATTGAATTAAAGTCTGGTCTGGAAAGTTTTTTATTCATTCTTCTGAAGCAGACACTTTAGTTTTATTTAGGTTACTTGGTGGATATTTCTATGGTGAAATCTTAGGAATTGAAGACATTGTGGTAACAACCCATATGTGTCAGAGGAAAGACTTTACCCAGGGCAGTCTAAACAGAATGCCCAGGGCAAATTCAAAAATGGTTGACTAGACCAAAGAATAGTCATTGATGATTACTAATGTGAGAGGGAGCAGGGTGTGGTAGACAGTATGCTGGACCTGGGCTTAGTAAATCTTGCTTCTAACACATTACTTGTATGACCATGGAGAAGTCATTTAACCTCTCTGAGCCTTAGCCTGTTTATTCGTTTGTAAAATGAGAACAATACCTGTGCTGTCTACTCACAGGGTTGTCGTGAGATACAAGTGAGATGCTATATGAAGTACTTTGATAGAGAAGTGTTAATTATTATTCTCATTAATTAAGAGTCAGGATGTAGGATTTTGGCTGGAGAGGCAGCCTTAGAATCAGACTGACCTGTGTTCAAGAGCTGCCTAATTTTACATCCTAGCTGGATGACCACAGAAAAATCACTTAACCTTTCTGTGACCAAGGTAACTCTCTAAGATAGTAAACCATGGATGTTGCTGATCTGCATCAGTGGAGGCATGTCCTATACCAATGAAGTAACAGAAAAAATTTGGGCCCCCAAAAGTATTAATCAATTCAAAAGACATTTGTTAAGTGCTTATAATATATAAAGCTCACTGTTTAGAGGGAGGTTTTCAGCAGGTGGGATCTGCCCTTGGCCCTTTGGTGTTTAACATTTTTATCAGTGACTTGGATGGAGGCATAGATGGCATACTTAACATTTGTGCAAGTAACACAACTGTAGGAGGATTAGCTAACTAGGATAAGATAGGAGCCAAGGAGCCAATAAGATATTAGGAGACTGGAACACTAGGTTGAATCTAGTAAGATGGAATGTAATGAGGATAAATGTAAAACCCTGTACTTGGGTTCAGAAATTAACTTTACAAGTAGAGAATAAGGGAGGTATGCCTAGCAACAATTTGTGTGGAAAAGGTCTGAAAATCTAAGTGTACCACACACTCAGTATTAGTCAACAATGGGAAACTAGTTCATTCTTGGTCTGCTTTAAGAGAGGAATAGCATTTGGACCAGGGAAGATGACAGTCCCATTGTACTCTGCCCTGGTCTAAAAACAACTGGGGTATTGTGTTTAGTTCTGGGTACCACATTTTAGGAAGGAAATTTGATAAGCTATTTCCTGAAGAGGCCACCAGGATGGTGCGATATTTAGCCTGGGGAAAAATGTAGATTTAGAGAGGACATGATAGCTGCCTTCAAATATTTTAAGGACCGTCATGTAGAAAATGTATTAAATTTATTCTGCTTGATCCAAGAGAGCTGCACTAGGAATGAGTAAAAGTTGCAGAGATACAGATTTTAGCTAGGGGTAAACAAAAAAATTCTAACAATTAGAGCTATCTAAAAGTAGGTTTGAGGTCTTCAGGTGTAAAGTTGATAACCACTTGTTGGGTATGTCATAGAGGGAATTTCTGTTCAGATATGTGTTGAATTAGATGACTTCTCTGGACCCTTATAACTCAGATTCTATGCTATAATGTTAATTACATAAAATTAGCTCCTATATTACACTGAATTATATACTATTTGCATATGATTAACAGACATTATTTATGATAAAGTTCTAGGCTAGTGCTGGTTTAGGATCCTTTGGAATAATATAAACTGTGTAATTATTTCCTGTTGACTTTGGGAAAGGCCAGGTCATATATAATAGAATCACTTAATTGAAAAGAATGAGTTTAAATATGAATTAAAAATTATGGAAGTGTGTATGAGTGCTGCATAAGAAAAATAGTTCATTTAGCATTTGTGGATAGGCAGATTACCCACACAATCAAATAATGATTTAAAACATTTATTCAGTCAAAAGCATTTATTAAGTGCCCATATTGTGTAGTATGTATAATGTTTGAAAATTATATTTTTTGTCTGGCTTCATTTTCTCATTGTCCATCTTCAGGAAACAGAATAGAGGGAGTATAAAATTTGGAGTTGGTCTGTTTAAAAACTGGAACAGCTAGGTGGCATACTAGATAGAGTGCCAGGCCCAAAGCCAGGAAGTTTCGTCTTCTTGAGTTCAAATCTGGCTTCAGACTGACCTGGGCAAGTCACTTAACCCTGTTTGCCTCAGTTAAATGAGCTAGAAAAGGAAATGGCAAACCACTCTAGTATCTTTGCCTAGAAAACCCCAAATAAGGTCACAAAGAATCAGACATGCCTGAAACAACTAAACAACCATTTAAAAAATTTCATTTTTTAAAATCAGTGGATATCTACCATTTTTTTTTAAGGTTAAATAACATAAATAGCCCAATTTTCATTTTTGGGGTTTGTTCTCAAAACAAATTTCAATAAAAACCAGGCTAACATAAATGTATACTTGCACTGCCATATGTAAAATATATTTCTTAAATACAAGGTATTCAATAGCTTATTTTTCCTTGGAAACTAGATGGGAGTAGAATTTATGGTATGATAATAGCCCTGAAATGACAATCATCTTTTTTTGCTGCATCCTTAAATTAAGCATCCCTGATTTCTCTATAGAAAACATAAATACCTCACTATCAATGTATAGTACTAAAAAAAAGTTAATCTTTTTAATGGGATAAAAGGTTGATTAAAAAAATTATATCATAAATTAGCTAAGACAAAGAGGATACCAATAAAGGCATCTTACTTTAAAAAAAATTTTTTTTTTAGGCAAAAGCAACAACAATTAAAGAAGCCCTAGCCAGATGGGTAAGTATATGAGCTCTTTTAAAAATTATATAAAACATACTTTTTGGCCACTAGAAATTTGGAACTTGTAAATTAATTAATTTTTAAGAATGTAATTATTTGGCCATCTCAATTTTATCTGATCAATAATCGTCATTCAAGAAGCATCTATTCAATAATCAATGAATTTCTAGAAAAAGCCATCTATACTCATTGTCTCTATTTTTTCACACACCCCCCATTCACATCTCAACTCTTAATAATCTGGTTTACAGTCCTTCTTCTCAAATGAAATTACTCTTACCAAATCTGCCAGTGATCTGTTTGTCAAATCCATTGAACTTTTCTTGGTATTGATCCCTCCTGACCTTTCTGTAGCTTTTCACCCTGATGATGACTAGGTCCTCCTATATATTTTCTCCTTTTTGTGTTTTTGTGATATTACTTCTTAGCTTTTTTTTTCTTGATCATCATCCATTTTCTAACCCTTGTGTGTGGTTATACCCTAGAGCTCTTTCCTAGGCCATCATGCCATCATTTCTTACCATAGACTCCCTCTTAGTGAATTCATTAACTCTCATAGGTTACTTCCAGATCTGTTTATCCAGCCCTTATCTGTCTACCAACCTACAGTCCTGCATTACCAACTGTCTGCTTAGACATATGTATCAACCTAGATGGTCCATCAGCATCTCAAACTCATTGTGTCCAAAACAGAATTCATTATCTCTACTCCATAAACCACACCTCTTTCTAACTTCCTTATTTCTGATAAGGGTATCGCTATCCAGTCACCCAGGTTCACAATTTTGGGATCATTCTTCACTCTTTACTACCCTTTCCTTCACCCTTTTATCCATTCAGTTACCAATTCTTATCAATTCTATCTTCACACCAAGTTTTATAGCCTTGTATTCATTGTTTTTCTGGAATTGTAGGACCTGGGGAAGACAGATTACACTGGATAAAATAACAGAATATTTCAATTCTTCTTTACTTTCTACAGCTCTTCACTAGTTTTACTAATTTATTTAGTTACTTTTTATTCATTTCTGCCTGGTTGCTATTCAGGGAAAATTTTGCATTATAAAGTTCTGATTTGTTATAATACCAGTATATAAGTTATAATATTTCCAGTATTTACTTCCTGAGGTTTTGGTAAAGGAAGGCACTTTCAATACTTTGTGGTTTAAATTGGATTTCTGGACTAGATGGCTGCCTAAACAGTGGTGGGAAATCCAGCTCCCACACCCCTGTTCCAGGAAAAACTTAAAAATAGTATCAGATTGAATAATAATCAAGAAATCTAGCTTCTTTTCAATTTCTCTTAACTCAGAACTGCTCAGACGTCAGCCACAATTCAACAGGTTCCCATAGGAAAGGGGACCCACCAGAAAAGCCAGTTCCTATACTGGCAAACAAGTCGGTAGCCTCCCACATACCTGAGGCCAGTCTCAGGTACAGTCTGCAAGGCTCAGGATCTGGAGAAGGCTGGAGTGGAGGGCTCTCCTGAGAAAGCCCCATGGTGGTTAGAAAGCTACAGTGTGGACCTGGGAAGTGACCATGAGTAGCAGTGACTAATAGGGGGATCCTATAGTTCTAGAAGTGGTCAGACTGGGACACCCCAGATATGGGCTTAATTGTCTCTAGCAAGATTGAGAGTGATGTGTTGTGAGGGACTGTCTGATGTTGGCTGCTGCCAGGTGGGGGTTGTGGCAAGATGGGGGTAGAATCTGGGTATTAGGAAGTAATGCTCCCGAGGCAGGGGCTGTGGTAGGCGGAGTTATGGTGAACTGGGATGGGCTGGATACGGAGAAGCCCTGAGTCAGTGGGCAGTGCTATGTGAGATAAGCTGGGGAAGGATCAGGATACAAGGAAGTAGCGGAGCATGTGCTCCTGAGGCAGGGGGCTATGCCACGTGGGAGTGGGACGGCAGAGGATGAGTTCCCTTTTCTTAGTCCCCTCCCTATATGCAACATCAACCCCAGATGCCTCCTTCCTGTGTCCTTCCTGACTTCCTGGGTCACGTACCTTCCCTTTGTGTAGCACTGACCCCAGACGCCTCCTCCTGGTATCTGGGCCTGACTTCCTAGGTCACGTACTCTGTCTATGCACTAATCCCAGATGCCTCCTCCCTGTATCCGGTCCTAGCCTCCTACGTCACTCCCTCCCCCTTGGTGTGCTAAACTCAGACAGCCCCTTCCAGTATCTGACCCTACAATCATTGACTAGTAGGCAGGAGGGGCTAAGTAGGTACTTAAGGAACGATCGTGGTCGGATCACAGCGCTCTCTTTGCTCCTGCTCTGTTGCTCTGGCCTTCCTGCTTGGCCTTGCTTTCTTTTCTCTTGCTTATTCTCCCATTCCCTGTTTCCAGTGTCCTCAGCCTCACTCCCTGATTCTGTCTCACTCCTTGATTCTTCCTCACTACTGATTTCCGCTTCTTTCACTCTTTTATATACTTCTTTCCCTAGCACCTCCCGATCCGGGACCTTAACAAACATCTGTCCCATCTTCCTTCCTTCACCCTATCGGCTACGGGTCTCCTCTCTCTTCCCGCGACCAGACCAGCTGGTCCGCGGGGTCTCTGGCCTATTTCCTCCGCCCCACGTTGGGCGCCACTTGTGCCGGCCGCGCCGACCTTGTGCCGGCTGCGCCGTGCACTCTCCTCCTATAAGGAGCAGGCTGCCAGAGTCATACTTACCAGTCTTCGGTTCTCAACCGAATAAACACAGAGACGAGCCTACCAGGAGGTGCCAACACCAGAGCTTTATTCAGAGGCCATCACAGCAAGGCCAAACAGGAAGGCCAGAGCAACAGAGCAGGAGCAAAGAGAGCGCGTGATCGACCACGATTGTTCCTTAAGTACCTACTTAGCCCCTCCTCCTCAGCCCGCCTACTAGTCAATGATTGTAGGGTCAGATACTGGAAGGGGCTGTCTGAGTTTAGCGCACCAAGGGAGAGGAAGTGACGCAGGAGGCCAGGACCGGACACAGGAAGGAGGCGTCTGGGATTAGTGGATAGACAAAGAGTACATGACCTAGGAAGTCAGGCCCAGATACCGGGAGGAGGTGTCTGGGGTTGACGTTGCATATAGGGAGGGGACTAAGCAAAGGGAACTCGTCCTCTGCCGTCCCACTCCCACGTGGCATAGCCCCCTGCCTCAGGAGCACATGCTCCGGCTACTTCCTTGTATCCTGATCCTTCCCCAGCTATCTCACATAGCACTGCCCACTGCCTCAGGGCTTCTCCGTATCCAGCCCATCCCAGTTCACCATAACTCCGCCTACCACAGCCCCTGCCTCAGGAGCATTACTTCCTAATACCCAGATTCTACCCCCATCTTGCCACAACCCCCACCTGGCAGCAGTCAACATCAGACAGTCCCTCACAATGTGTCTAAGCCCAGAAAGTGAAGGTCAGCATAGAAATCCAGGTCAAGACCAGGTAGGATCAACCACTCCTCTGAAAAAGTGTAATGGAAGGCAGAGCCTCACCCTGTCACAAAGCCCTGATTCAGGAACTATAGCTGGAGAAAAGACTATATTCAAAGAGATATATGCTACTGTAAAGTATTATATTAAGTTCTAAGATAACTTAAAATCCAACCTAGATGGAAAGAGATACTTGGCATCAACCTTGTGCAGAGACCCAAAAGAAATAATGGATTTTCCATAAGGACTATGTGAATTCCTAAAAGAAGTGAAGCAAGAGATAAAAATGAAACAAAAGCTCTGGAGGAAAGAATTGAAAGGAGAATAAGTAGTTTAGAAGAAAAGTGATAAATTTTACCCAAGGAATGAAATCCCTAAAGACTATAATAGATCAAACAGAAATCACTGCTCTTTGAGGCAGCAAGAAATATTTGAACCAAATCAAAAAAATCGAAAAAATAGTAAAGGTAACATGTTTGGTATTGAAAGCAACTCACTGGGATACAGGTCGAAGAGAAAGAATTTAATAATCACTGGGCTCTCTGAAAACTGTGATTAAAAAAAAAAGTCTGAATTCTATATTAAAATGTTTTTTTAAATTTTATTGCATAGCATGTGTGTTTTAGCAATAGTTATTTAAACATATAAATCATGTTCATTTTAAATCCTGTGCATTTACCACATTTTTTTCCAATAAATACTTCCTCTTCATTCCCAATAAGAGTAATATCGATAACAATCCTACCCCATTAAGTCAGTGCTTTTTTTTATGTAGAAAAACAATTTATTCCATCATAAGCACTTACAGTTAGTTATGGACAGTAACAGGCTGCTGGTTGGACAAGTTACCCCAAAGGACATCGTATAAAACGAGTGGTCAAGTACTAATTCCGTTTGTGTGGGGTTTGTTGAAAAAAAATTTTTTTTTTTAAAGAAAGGAAAAAGGAAGAAGAGAAGCCATCCAAAATTTTAAAGCGCATGTTAGCTACCAGTTGTTCTGTTTTCAGATTACTGGGTAGTCTGCCAGTAGTATATCTGTCAGGTAAAAACATATACCTTCTTTATAACCTGGTGGTCCCAAGTTAAAAAAAAAATTCACAGAAAGTAAAGAGTAATATGAAAACATAGTTCAAGAAATATACTAGAGAGCAAAACTATATAAGGTGAATGAAGATATTTTGCAGAAACAGCTACAACATTTCACACATCTGTTTGTCCCCCATCAGATGAGAAGTGGAAGGAGGGAGTAAATAGTCACTAGGGAAGAAAAAATATTTCAATAAAACAAAAAAATTTCAATAAGAAATTTTGACTGGTTACAGAAGCAACCAGCAGGGGTAGGCTAGTCTACAACAGGGATGATCTGTACCCTAAAAGGTTAGCCATGCCAGTTTTAGTCTTTGAATGTCTATAAACAAAGGAAACAGTTCAGGTGTCCTACAATGCTAATACGTCAGTGGCTGAGACTCCTCACTTGGATATAAATCCTACTCCATTCTAATTTTACTTAAATCAGTCTGAAAAGCTTGCAGTTACAACGTAGGAAGAAAAATAAAACACTCATGGTCCATTTCTTGTGGCTCAATCAG